CCGTTGATGAAGATGTGTATGCCATTTCTGTGAATGATGTAGCTACTCCCTTGATGACTGTTAAGAGAAACCTACTACTGGCCGGTTTATTTCCGGGTTGTAGCGAAGGTTGCCTTTTCTGTGTTGTTTCCCTTTCTGGTTGTCCTTTGCTGAAGTTGGGCATCCAAAGCCTGATGGATAGCAAAGAGATTCTGTTCAAGAATACTGCTATTCAGTTTGTTCTGGTGGAAGAAGTTTCTGTTGTTACAATCTTTAATAATCCAATCAAGGCTCTCCCGAGGAAGCCAGTTAAAATCATGACAGTCGCACCCATTGTGATTACTGTTCCGGGGCCTCTCCCCTATGAATCTGAGAAGGCTGTCCCATGGCACTATGGGGAAGATGTGTATGTACATGGAATAAAGCAAGAGTTCAACACTGGTACCAGCGTCAGCAATACCACTGGTCCAACCAAAGTTACCCGCAGTGGCAGGCTCTTCTCACCTGACATTGCGCCACCTACTATTCGAAGACCTCTCACTATAACACCTGCAGGTGTACCTGTTCCCATTTCTGATCAAGTTGTTTCCCCTGCTGCCGAGTCATCTAATGCTCGGGGCAAAGGGATTGAAGATGAGCCTGCCCGGATGGAGGCACCAAAATCTGTGAATGCTGAGGCCTCCCAACAAGAGATGGAGGAAATTCTGAAGATAATCAAGAAGAGCGATTTTAATGTTGTTGAACAGCTGGGGCATACCCCCTCCAAGATCTCCATGCTCTCCTTGCTGCTGTGCTCAGAGGCCCATGCTAAGGCCCTGATTTCATTCCTCAAGACGGCCCATGTGCCACAGGAGACATCTGCAGTCCAATTTACTGATTGCATAGCCAATTTGACAGCCGACAATGGTTTGGGTTTCTCGGATGCTGACCTTACTGCTAAGGGAAAGGACCACAATGACGCCCTGCATGTCTCTATTGAATGCAGGGGTACTACTCTTGCGCACGTGTTAGTGGACACTGGTTCTTCCCTGAATGTGCTACCCAAAAAGGCCTTAGACCGGTTGGATTGTGAGGGCCTGGAGCTGAAACCTAGCAACATCATTGTCAGAGCCTTTGACGGTTCTAAGAGGATGGTTCATGGAGAGGTAGACATTCTTATTCGCGTGGGTTCTCAAGTATTCGACTCAACTTTCTATGTGATGGATATCCGTCCATCGTATTCTTGCCTACTGGGTCGACCTTGGATCCACAAAGCTGGGGCAGTGACCTCTACCCTACACCAGAAGCTCAAGTACCCCGTCAGAGGGAAGATTGTCACTGTGCAGGGAGAGGAGGAGTATATGGTAAGCCATTTTAATTCCTTCAGGTATATTGAGATGGACGGGGAGTTTATTGAAACCCCCTTTCAGCATTTTGAAGAGGTACCTCCAACATTGGCAGCGGCAGAAACAGTGGTTGAAGAGGACTTTCCATTGAAGATGGCTTCCTTGAAGGATGCCCGGGCTGTAATCAAGAAAGGTGAATGTGCTAACTGGGGTAGGCTCCCTGATTTTACACCTAAAACTGACAAGTTTGGACTGGGTTTTACTGTAGAGGCTCAGAGGGTTGTGCGCAAGGCAAAGACCAGAAGACCTCCTGTGCTCATTACCAATCCAGGAGTGAATGCCATTGGGAATGAAGATGAAGTAGAAGAGTCAGAGTTCGATAGCTGGATCTACCCGACGACTGATGGTGGATTAACCAATTGGATTGCTAAAGATCATACTCCTGTTACTTTTGTTAAGCAGTAATAAACTCCTTTGTTTTTGTTATTTGTAATAAACAATGAATTAAAACTCTATGACCCGGTGTCTTACCCGGGGCACCGTGGCTTCATTTGTGAGGGTATATTAATTGTCATTTCATATATCATGAATAAAGACCTTGGACGTTTTCTCGCATTTCAAATCTTATGCTCCTTTTCTTTCTTTCCTTTCTTTATATATATATATTGCAAAATAGCTGTATTTACACACACTCACTCATACAGGTTTCAGTCCACTCTGGATCTCACTGGTAACGACTCTGCTACTGCCAGTTATGACTTCGAAAATCCGATCAACTTAGCCGAAGACGAAGGTGAAGATGATTGCGAAGTGCCTGGCGAGCTTGCAAGACTGTTACTCCAGGAAGAGAGGGCAATTCAACCACATGAAGAGCCAGTGGAAACAATAAATCTGGGTACTGAGACGGACAGGAAGGAGGTTAAGATTGGTGCCAACCTAGAGCTCAGCGTGAAGCAACGGTTGACTCAGATGTTACATGAGTATGTGGAGATCTTCGCCTGGTCCTACGAAGACATGCCTGGTTTGGATACTGATATTGTGGTCCATCATCTGCCTACCAAGGAAGACTGCCCTCCGGTTAAGCAAAAGGTCCGCCGTATGCGTCCAGAGATGTCTGAGAAGATCAAAGCCGAGGTTATGAAACAATTTGATGCCGGGTTCCTTGCAGTGACTTCTTACCCTCAGTGGGTTGCTAATGTGGTGCCAGTACCAAAGAAAGATGTAAAGGTCAGAATGTGTGTCGATTACAGGGATTTGAACAGGGCCAGCCCCAAAGATGACTTCCCTCTACCTCACATTGATGTCCTTGTTGATAATACGACTCAGCATAAAGTGTTCTCTTTCATGGATGGCTTTTCAGGTTACAATCAGATCAAGATGGCTCCTGAAGACATGGAAAAGACTACCTTTGTTACTCAGTGGGGCACCTTCTGCTACAAGGTCATGCCATTCGGGTTGAAAAATGCTGGGGCAACCTACCAACGTGCCATGGTTGCTTTGTTTCATGACATGATCCATCATGAGATAGAAGTGTATGTTGACGACATGATCGCAAGGTCCCAAACTGAGGAAGAACACCTTGATCATCTGCAGAAATTGTTTGACCGTCTGAAATTGTACAAGCTGAGGTTGAACCCGAACAAGTGCACCTTCGGGGTAAGATCTGGAAAGTTGTTAGGCTTCGTTGTAAGTGATAAGGGTATTCAAGTGGACCCTGCCAAGATTAAGGCCATTCAAGAGATGCCAGTTCCTAAGACAGAGAAAGAGGTCAGAGGCTTTTTAGGACGCCTGAATTACATTGCTCGATTCATCTCGCACCTGACTGCCACCTGTGAACCAATCTTCAAGCTGCTGAAGAAAGACCAGGTAGTATGTTGGAATGATGAATGTCAGGCCACTTTTGACAGAATCAAAGAGTATCTCTAAGAACCACCCATCCTTATGCCACCGGTTGAGGGGAGACCTCTGATATTATACCTGATAGTACTTGACAACTCAATGGGGTGTGTGCTGGGGCAGCATGACGAGTCTGGCCGAAAAGAGCATGCCATTTATTACCTTAGTAAAAATTTTACCGACTGTGAGACCCGATACTCATTGCTCGAGAAAACTTGCTGCGCTTTGGTATGGGCTGCTCGCCGGCTGAGACAATATATGCTGACTCACACTACCTTGTTGATTTCAAAGATGGATCCTATAAAGTACATATTTGAAAAGCCTGCTCTGTCTGGGACACTACAAGAAAATTAGTGTTTAACGACACAAAAATTGCGACAGTTATGTGATAACTGTCGTAATTGACATATAGCGACAGTGTTTACGACAGTTGACACCAACCGTCCCTAATATTTATTTTGCGACGGTATATTTAACCATCATAATATTATTATTACGACGGTAAAACAACCGTCGGCCCCCATTTAACACTTTTAACATTGATTTTTCACCAACAACTAGTCACGACGGTAAAATTAACCGTCCTAAAAGGCATATCACGACGGTAAAGCACCCGTCGCACCCTTAAATCTTTCACGACGGTAAAATTATCCGTCCTAAAATTCATTTCACGACGGTAAAACAACCGTCGCACCCAAAACCTTTAAAAATTCTCATGGGCACGACGGTAAAACACCCGTCGCGGTAAAACAATTTTTTTTTGAGATTTATATAAATTTGATTTTATATCCATCATTAACACATTCAAATATAACATGAAATTAAAATTTAGATTTACAAATTATGAACCCTAAAATATATTATCTAATGTCTAGTACTAAAAAAGATCTTAGATTATCAACACAATATCGCTATTTTTTTTTATTCTTTTACTTTCCCACTTTTTTTCAGCAACACAATATCATAATATCAACACAATATCATAATATTTTCAGCAACTAATATTTATTATTAAATTATAAACAAAATACAACAAATAAAAATATAAAAAAACAAAATAGGAGTAACAAACAAAATTGAAAGGATTAGGTTTTGTGAAAGAGCTTTTTATCCGATTGAAGCAAAGAACCACCGCCGGAAGTACGATGTTGCGCCTAGAATGGTGAAGCTTCCATTCTTCGAAATTATCCCTTTGTCCTCTTTGTCTTGATGCCACGCTTCCAAATCTGCCTTTGGTTTTCATCAATCCTCGTTCCGCCAACGTCATCCCTCTAAGGTACGTTCTCTTTCTCATTCTCTTCTTCCATTTCAATCACTTCCAAGCTCTATTCTAATCTCAAAGTTTCAGTTCTTCCTTTTCGTTTAACCTTACGCTTTTCCGAAAAAAACTTAGTTTTTGTGAAATTGCCTTTGTTTTGACAGTGAATAACAATGAGGAAGCTAAAGTATCATGAGAATAAGCTTTTGAGGAGGGTGAATTTTTTGGAATGGAAGAGAGAAGAGGGTCACAGAGAGAATATGGTTATGCAGCGCTACCATATTACTCAACGCGACGATTATAAAAAGTATTATCATGATTGTTCTGGCATTTGGTAATTTTCTTTGTTTTGATTTGGTTTTTAGCTGATTGTGGAAATATGAACAGGTATGCAAGTTTAACACGGATGATTCAGAAGTTGGTGAGCGCAGTGAAACAGATCGACGCCAAGGATTCCTTTCGAGTTAACATGACTGATAACCTTTTGGAAAAACTGTAAGTTCACTTTTTGAAGTTACATGTTTAAAAGATAGTATATGATATTATTGTTTGAACTGGATTGGATTGGTGCATATACTATGAGCTTTGGTTTTCTTAAATTCAATTACAAGATTAGTTGCAAGTAATGTATTTAAATTGTGGGGTGGTTCTATGTAAGTATAAGCAGCAACTACGGGTAATCGGATAAAATGTAATAAAAATAGGTGGTCTGATTGCAATGGCCCTCTGGCTTTGTAGCCGGCACCTCTAAAAATAGGTGGCCTGATTGCAATGGCCCTTTGTCTAACAAAACCATTCTTGTTACCGGCGGTGCCAGTTATATCGTCACCCACACCGTTCTCCAGCTTCTTCTTGCCGGTTACAAAGTCATTGTTGTTGATAACCTCGATAATTTTTCTGGTAAGTCCATCGATAGAGTCAAGACTCTCGCCAGTAATTTTGCCGGTAACCTTTCGTTTCATAAGGTGCGAAGCATTCATTTTTTCAATTGTTTTTTTATTTTTATGATTCGGTTGTAATGTTCTTCATGATTTGATTGTTGTTTTTCATTTTTTCTGAATATGGTGATTTTGGTTTTGAATTCTAAGTTGTTTAATTCATTGCGTTGGATTTTAGTGATTTTGTGATTTAGCCATTTTTTTCTAGTGGACCCAAAGTTTTGTGGCTTATATGGTTTTGTTAGACATAATTGAAACAGTTTCCGTGCTTCATAGCCCTTTGGTTCTCTCATCACGATGACCATGAGTTCATGACTGTTAGATAGCTTAAATGTTTGTCCAGGATAGTTCATAACTACATGGATGTAGCTTAGTGCCGAGAAGTATGAGTTAGACCTACCATTTCGAGTGCGATGATTGTCCTATTTTAGTGACTACTCCTTTTGTTTCTTCACTCTTGGTAGTTGGTATTAGTTTGAAACAAAGAAGGAAAACATAAATGTTGAGTCAGTTACAGTTTACACATATCTGTTTCATTAACTCACTCTTTTATTTAATATGACAGTTACAACATGGGTGTGATTCCAACCAGGCAAAGCATCACACTATGTGAAAGCTTAACTGTGTCATCCTTTTGCAGGTAAAAGGAACGCATTACTGCTTTTAATGATTTAAATGAAAATTTTGTTATGAACTTTACTCGTTAGCTCATTAGAGTGTATTATCATATGAAAAACAACAAAAGGCCTTGGATTTTGCCAATATGTGGTTGTTCAGAGTGGTAAGGGACTTAAACACACCTTATGTCATGGAGTTTCAATTGGGTTTGGAATAATACGTAGCTGATTGAATTATTCTGTTGATAAACCTTAGGAGCTTCAAGACGCAATTAAATGGCAGAGAAGGAGTTTCAGCAGGCGATTCCCGGGGCTTCATCCCTTTTCATCTAAGCAGACATTTCATTCCTTTTATCTACGCTCAAACGCAAACCCCAGCGAAGCAAGAATTGCATCTCGACACCATGAACGGATGGGAAGAAGAGTGTTAGACAACCGATCTCAACGGATTCAAAGACGGTTGTAAAGATGATTCTCGGCGACGAAAGATTCAAAGGTATCGTTACTTCTTCTTTCTTACTTGTTTTTCCATATCTTCTTTTATGAGTTCCGCGGAATCCGGTCGATTCTGTTTCTGTTTGCAGTTGATGAAAACGATCGATGACGCATAAAGGTTTAGGATGCGGATTGTTACTCTTCATGGTGAAGCGTCGAAGAAGATGCGTTGTCGATTCATTATGAGCCGCGGAGGAAACTGCCGAAAACCATTAACAATATCATCATCATCATGATAATTGATCAAGGTGACAAAGAAGTTCAAAACACATCATTGAACAAATATGCTTTGGCTTGTGCCCTTGTTGCTTCAATGGTTTCCATTGTCTCTGGCTATGGTAATATTATCACATTCTCTAATCTTTTTCACTTTTTTTTTAATTTCATTTCCCTATCCAACAAAATTGAAGAGAGGTTTTCTAATATATCTTATTATATTTTATGTAAAATGTAAGGTGTGTGACTACTAATTGACTATTCGTGAATTTAGTAGTCATGTATGTATTATTCAATCATTTATATCGAGTCATTTTTTTATAATAACTATTCTACATTGATGATTAATTTCAGATACCGGTGTTATGAGTGGAGCAATGATTTTCATAAAAGAGGATTTGGGAATCAGTGACACACAACAAGAAATTCTAGCAGGAATCTTAAATGTATGTGCATTAGTTGGATCCTTAACAGCTGGAAGAACTTCTGATGTCATTGGTCGTCGATATCAATAAAATGCATGTATTTTTAAAAAAAACTCCAAATACATGTATTGAATCATTAGTGTAACATATGATTTTAAATCAATAGTTTCTGCAGTCTTATTTATTGGCAATATTATTCAAAATTAGACGTATCATGTTCTGTCTAGCAGATTCTATGACTTGGCAGGCCTGCCAAGTGGAATTCTGAAGAAAGGGAGGGAGGTTCTCCTCACAGGCTGCTACCTCCGAACTACCGCAGAAAGTTCTGGTCATCCACGTCTTTTGCCAACAGAGTATCTCGTGATTCTATTAGACGAGGTAACTATCATTTTCTTTAGTTGTATTTTGGTCTTAAAATTTGAGCGTTTCATATGCTAGTAGTTCAAGTTCAGAGCCTAGCCCGTGCTTCTGGAAACTAACTTTTACTGCACAATACAACTAAAGAAAAGCCTGTTGTTTTCTTTAAAATTGTAGAATCAGGATGATGATGCAATGCTGCTAGGAGCTCAGTTTTGTTCAGACTCCTTCTCTTCAATTTCGCTGGAGGCAGTAAACAATGGGGCTTCTTATTCACTTTATGCCAGGTAAACTATTTGCAATGGATGTTCTGTTTGCTGCATAAGTTTGTTGTTGAGCATGTTGTAAATTTACTGAGAGTTGTGTCATTAAAATTATTTCAGGCACCATTTTGCTGTTTATAAAGATACCTAAGTGTAACTATGAGGTTTAAATCATTTACTAGTTCGTCTATGTTCCTCTATATATGCATTTGTCAACATGATCCATAACCTTGAATAATGGTATTTTTCCCTTTTACAAGGAAGCATGCCCTCACTAGTTTTTTTATTGATTACAGGATTGAAAATATTGAATCTGCGGAAATTCGAGGGAATTTTGGGACCTCGCAAAGAAAACAAATTACTCTTGTTGATGGTGATGGTGTTGCATTAAATTTCTTCTTATGGAGCGAGCAGGTTCTCCTTGCCAATCTTTTCAGGTAATTCTCACATTGTCAAACTTATGAAGATGAGTAATTCTTTTCTTATATGTGTGGTAACATTCACCATTTTGGTGGGTTACAGAGTAGGATGCATGCTTGCCCTGGACAAACCTTACGTTGCCAGTTCTGCAGAGTGTGGTATTCAAACAAACGAGGAATTTTGCCTTGAATATGGAAGTGCAACACAATTATATTTGGTGCCTTATATTCAGCATGAAGAACAGGTGACTTGACTTGACGGATTTTTGTATGACATTAACTATATCAATGACACACAACAAGAAATTCTAGCAGGACACACAACAAGAAATTCTAGCAGGAATCTTAAATGTATGTGCATTAGTTGGATCCTTAACAGCTGGAAGAACTTCTGATGTCAATTGGAAGAGCAATTTTGAAAGATCCAAAAATATTACTTCTTGATGAAGCTACAAGTGCCCTTGATGCCGAGTGTGCATGTATTGATACTAACTTGTGCATTTGTATGTTCTTTTTAAACCTTGGTGATTTCCTTGTGCAGAAACTAGGGGAAGGTGTGAAAGGGGTGTATATCTCGATAGACGTGGATTGTCTTGATCCTGCATTTGCTCCGGGAGTGTCTCATATTGAACCGGGAGGTCTTTCTTTCCGCGATGTTCTTAACATCCTACACAATCTTCAAGGTGATGTTGTTGCTGGAGACGTCGTTGAACTCAACCCACAACGCGATACTGTTGATGGAATGACTGCTATGGTAGCTGCTAAGTTGGTCAGAGAAATGGTTGCAAAGATTGCAAAATGATCAAGAGATTTCGGAGCTAACCTCTTTTTGTTATAGTTCCTGAAAATCGGAAAATCTCACTTGTTATAGGTAACTTGTAGCAAAGTTATAAGGTGGTATAAGCATATTACAATGTGCAATAATTCATAAATCTTTTCTCCCAATAATAAGTACTGGTATCTCACGGAAATCTCACGCTTCAATAGCAAAAGCAATGTCTCCTTGCATTATTTTACAAATGGTTTCCCAACTGAATTAATAATACTGAGTTAGTAAATATTTCAAAACAATTGGATTGCTCATTTCAAAACAATGTTGAAAAGTGATAGAAAATAAAATAAAAATACTATAAATAAAAAAATATTAAAGTAAATAATAATTTAAATATAATAGTAAAATATTATAGTAAAATAATATTATATTTAAAATTATTTTACTAAATAATAATTTAAATAAAAATATTATTTGAAATTTATAAATCAGATTACGACGGTTAAAGTCAAATTCACGACGGTATATAACCGTCGCAAACAACAACAACAAAAAATAAAGTCAAATTCACGACGGTATATAACCGTCGCAAACAACAACAAAAACAAAAAATAAAGTCAAATTCACGACGGTATATAACCGTCGCAAACAACAACAAAAACAAAAAATAAAGTCAAATTCACGACGGTATATAACCGTCGCCATCTGTTGTGCGTGACAGTTTTTGCAACCGTCGCGAAATAGGCTGGGGACGCACGATTCTGCGACGGTACTTCTACCGTCGTAGATTGTAAATTGCGACGGTTTTAACCGTCGTAATCAGCCAAAATAACCGTCCCAATCTATCATTTTTCTTGTAGTGGGAGAATAGCAAGATGGAAAATGATCTTGACGGAATACGACATCCAGTACACAACTCAGAAAGCCATCAAAGGAAGTGTATTGGCAGACCACTTGGCACATCAGGCAGTGGACGACTATCAGTCAATGAACTTTGAGTTTCCGGACGAGAGCATCATGATAGTGACTGATTGTGAAGTACCTGAACCGGATGAAGGACCTGAGGAAGGATCCCGATGGTCTATGCACTTTGACGGAGCCTCCAATGCTTTGGGTAACGGCATCGGCGCTGTGATCATATCCCCTCAAGGCACTCATACTCCACTCACTGCCCGACTATGTTTTAACTGCACCAACAACATGGCGGAGTATGAGGCATGCATCATGGGTCTTCAAGCTGCGATTGATTTAAGGATCAAGTTTCTGAGTGTCTTCAGAGATTCCTCTCTCGTGATCAATCAGATCAAAGGGGAGTGGGATACGAAACATCCGAATCTGATTCCTTACAAAGAATATGTGTTGACCTTGATCCCCCACTTCGAGGAGATAACCTTTGAACATTTCCCAAGAGAAGAGAACCAGTTAGCGGATGCGCTAGCTACCATGTCTTCTATGTTCAAAGTCAGGTGGGACAATGA